ATTCATATGTATTTTGTTTTGCTTAGTTTGCTGTTGTTTTTTTTTTTAAATTATTTCTATCCATAATATAGAAATCTGATTTAAGCAGAAGTTAAACTGCTTAAACAGTGATTCAAACAAAAGAGAAAAGGGAAGGGAAGGGAAGGGAAGGGAAGGGAAGGGAAGGGAAGGGAAGGGAAGGGAAGGGAAGGGAAGGGAAGGGAAGGGAAGGGAAGGAAAGGAATCATCTCCAAAAGGCAACAATAATAAAACCATTTTTAACTGATTTATTATTCTTGATGAAAGATTTAGACCAATTCTTCCAGTGTTTTTTTGTTTCCCACTATTATAATAGACAAAATATTCTCATTATATTTTCAAGTGTTTGCTCTTATTTTTATTACAGGACAAATGTTGTGCTGTATTTATAATACAATTTGATGTCCTTCATACCGGTAAACTGTCCCTAGCTTTTACACAATACTCATATTTCTAAGTATGTAATGTAATCTACCCAACCTCCATTCAGAGAAATGTGATTGCATTAAAGAAGAGCTGTTTTTGTCTCTTCTCTCAAGCAAAAAGTGGTAGGACAAGATAAAATGGCCTTAAGTTGCACCAAGTCAATTTAAGTTGAAAATTAGGAAAAAAGAGTTGTGAAACATTGGAGCAAGCTGACCAGAGATGTAGTTGAATCACCATCCCTGGAGGTATTTAACAGTTATGAAGATTAGGGACATGGTTTAGTCGTAGATTTGGTAATGCTAGGTTAATGATTGGACTTGATGATCTAAGACATTTTTTTTCAATCTAAATGATTCTATTTCCTGGTGCATATCTCTGAAGGAAGGTAAGTGACCAGGTTATCTTCCTCTTTGGTTATTTTTTAATCCAAAAAAATCACTACTATTTTCTTATTTATCTGTTTAACTTCAAGTCCTGTTACAAGGACTAATTTTAATACCAACATGTCTCTTGTTTGCTTAAAGAATGTATAAATTTGTTCTAATTTTCTCCATCTCCCCTCAAAAATGATGTGTCAGGATTACACAATAACTCATTAAAACGTGTAAGAATCTAAATATTCAATAAGTGAGTTTTAAATAGATCTCAGAATGTGGATTAATATTATTATCTGTTCTCATATAATTGTTCAAACAAAGCAACTTAAAGTTGATCACATTTGATTTTTTTTAAATTTATTTTCCTCTCATTCTTTTGCCTGAATTCTAGTATTAAGTATTTTATCTTGTAAACAATTCATTGAGTTTATCTTAGTGCAAAACTTATTCAAGAAAGAATTTGGAAATTTAAAGCCAAATATACATAATGAAAGACAGAATACCTTACAACACATTTATTGTTGTATTTATAGAAACATTAGATGCCTCAGAAACTATAGCATTCTAGGTTATTATAGGTATATCAGCATTTTTGCAATTAGCAAGCAGAGGTCAATAGTGAATGCTGAAAATCAGTGCAACTTTTATATTATTCATAATCATAACCTCATGTATGGTTTATGTGAAGTAGTCCAAAAATATATATGTGAGAACCAAACACTAACTAGGAAAAAATTAAAAAATATATGCTGCAAAAGTAAAGAGATGTGATTATTCAAATAATTCAGATTCAGTATCTCAAAGCTATACTTATGTTTTAGGTTATCATATGTATGATAAAGTATCATAAAGTATTGAATTCTCATAATGCACAATTTTTTAACAAAAGAAATATGCCTCTGTGAAACTTTTTAGGACTGATATCTGCCCTAATGCTACCTTATACGCATGAAAGAAAAATTTAAACATCTGTACTCTTCTTCAGCTATGATAACGTAAAATCACAACGTTTATAGATTTCTTCTTTTCAAGCAACATGCTAAATATGACAGGAAAATAAATGAAAAATTTGTCACTGTAATATATACCCCCCAACACACCCCTTTTTTTTTTTTTTTTTTTTTTTTTTGCTATCTTATCAAGCTACTAAAAATCAGAAGTTGGGAAGTTATCAGAAACTTGGGATTACATGTAAAACACAAAGTCAAATTTTTACTCAGTTTTTAGTTAATCATTCAGAGAAAAGCTTTTTGGGTAACTTAGTTTTCTGGAGGGAGTCGTGAAATAGATCTAAAACAGTTGATTGCCCTTTATGGATAGTATGTTTGAAATTTATATCATATAAATTTAGAAGTCTGAAAAAGAGTCATCTGGCTTCCCTTCATATCTCATTCAGAGAAAGAGATACTTCTAGCTTAATGTGACTTGTTTATACCAGCTCCCATTCATCTGTGCCAAGGAAAAAAAAAAAAAAAAAAAGCAAAGAAAAGTAAGGAAACAGCTTGCTGTAGGTCATATTCTGGGTTACTGCATTTGGGCCAAGTGGATAGCAATCCAAAAACTTTGTGGAGTGTCACTGACTATAATATTTTGTCTGAACTATTAAGGGCAGTCAGCATTCCCTGTAGCACATCTGGCAGAAAGAATAATGATAGACTATTACTGGATCTCGTAATATAAACTCTATAACATCACATCTTTATAAACTGCTGTGATTTAATGAATCAGGAACAGGCATAAACGTTATGTGGTTAACATCTTATTTGAAACAGATTTCAAAATTATTTGATTAGAAAGAAAATGCTGTACACTATGCTGTTATAAAATTGTTCAGTTTCACAGTCATCAAGATTTGCCTTTGAATTATGGGATCAAAGTAGATAAATATATTTGTCATATTGTTTTTTTTATTTTAGCTAATATTTGATGTTGTAGCAGATGACAGTATCAATTAGAAAATTCTCAAAACAATTTCAGTAGTAAGAGGTTTAGTTACCTTTTTGCTATGGCATCAGAAATGTTGAACAAACAAATAAAGAACAAACTTCCTATATTTTGTTATGAGAAACTATTTATTCAATTTCTTGTCCTGTGATCATTGTATTCATCCACTCTTTTCATTATTTCTTAGTCATATACCCCTACAAATTTGGTATGTTTTCCATTTTCCTTAAACGTGCTTATATCTGGTTACAAATTAAGCAAAATTTTATGTTAAAGACAAAATAAAATCAATTCAGGCTGTGTTTGTTCTATTAGGTTGCTGGCATGTACTCCTAGATCCTGGTCTCCTGATTGCCAGTGCAGGAAGGAATTTGTCATAGTCCCTTAGCATATGTCTGTCTCAAGAAACAGAATGAGATGCAGCCGTGAGATACAGGAAAGAGAGAGAGAAAACTGACAATGAATGCACTGATGTACCTCTTTTGGAGAATGTAGGGCCACAACATGAGCTGAAAGGAATTCAGAAGATTTTCCATATCTAGCAGATTTAATTTGACATAAAATACTCTGGTCACAAATGTCTTGATTCTTTAACTATAGTCACAGGCAAAAATGATGAGGTTTATGAAATGAAATAAGAAGTTTCAGGATACTCTAAAATATTTTTCTAAATGTCGGTAATACCTAGTATTCTGAGAAGAGAAGCAAAGTGCATTTTTATGTTTCTCTGTAAAGACAATGTGAGCTGAGGATCTTAGAATTGTAATAGAAATGTAACAGACATTACAGAAGTCCAAAGTGGCAAAGCATTTACCCCTTGGAAGCAAATAGAACCATAGTTCACCATCACACAATTTGGGAATTTATAATAAAAAAAGAATACTCTGATTAATTTGTATAATTCGGTGAAATGTATGGTCTACTGATCTGACTAAATGATTTAACAGTCTCTCTGGCCTTAGAATGTAATTTAAGACTATATTTAAGTTGTTAGTCTGATCAGTCTAGTATGATTTCAGCAATGACAAAATATTAATGCCTTCAGAAAGAAGAATACTTATCTCAAACCAAATCGAACAGTATGAATATTATTCTATGTATGAAACTTGGAAAACAAAACAAAACAAAAAATGTTTTTTTTTTCTGCTTTAATAGGAAAACACTTTCTGTTTGTTCCAAAAAAATTAGTTTTAGTGTAGTAAATTATCGTTTCATATATGTTATTGCTCCAAACACAGAAAATCAACCTTTGAAAAGAATTTCATAGCATTATATTTCACCTGTGTTAGTATATTGTTAATATTGTCTTATATATATATATATATATATATATAATTTCCTGTATTTACCAGTCCTTTACATTACTTCATAGTATTGTATGGAAAAAAGAAAAAATCAATGTCACATGATCCACATACTTTTACTATGAACTTCAAACACTAACAGAGGCTTAAGACAAGCTAGTTCTATCCTCTCTACACTTCTGTAATATCTCTCAGCACTCCTTGTGTTTATAGGACATGTTAATTATGCTTGTGAAAGTAGTAGGTGATTGATTATAAGGATCACTTCATCTAGCATTGAAATGAATTAAGTCCTCAAGATCATTACAGGGCAAATGAAGTAACAAGTCAAGAAGAATAGCACATCCAATACAAAAACTAGAAAGTATGGGTGGGAAGAGAATCATTATCCAAGCTGGAATGAAGTAATGACAGCGCGAACTAGTCTAATGAGTAATACTATGGGAAATTTTGTTTCCTAGTTCTGTTTTGTGTGAACACGCAAACAATGGCACAAAAAAGTACACATCACCAACAAGGTAATTCTAAGTATAAAGCAAAGAACAAAATAATCATGTATTCCTACCTTAAGTAACAAAAAAATTTGCTGTAGCATTTTTTTTAACCATAGCTTTGAATTATGTAGAAATATTAGACACTGCACTAAACTATTAAGGATAGAATTTATCACATCTAACCTCAGTTACCTCAAGTATAGTCACATAGACTTAATTACCTCCTTGTTCAGTAAAGATTTAACACTTTCTCCTTTCTCTCTTGTGCCCCTCATTAAAAAAGCTCAAGGTCTCTTACGAGATACACAATATTTAGATAGCTATCATTAATGAATTACCTCCTCATGGACTGACCTCTCCTGAAGTCTTTGCAATCTAAATTAAAAAAAGAAAATAAAGGAAAAAGGAAGGGGAAAAGGAAAGAGAAGATGAAAGGGAAAGGGAAAGGGGAAGGGGAAGAGAAGGGAAAGGGAAACAGAAGGGGAAGGGAAACAGAAGGGGAAGACAAGACGGTGTCAATGGTTTATGGGCTGGTTTGGCCCGGTTCCGTGATGAGCGGGGTGGAGGGATCTGCAGATCCGCGCCTTCGGAAAAAAAGAAAAGAGGGTACCCCAAAATAATTAAAAACAACGGCAACGATCTGAGGAGAAACAAACTAATTTTCTAAGTATATTATCGGAAGCAAGATAACACACTTTAATACAATATAATCAGAATTGAAGCTAATAAATCAAATATAATGAGAGAGAGGATGTCCGATAGGTGGATAGGCCTCACCACAACGCTGAGGTGAGATACGCAGTCCAGTTGAGCAGCAGGGAGACGGGAGAAGCGCCCACGAGGAACGGCAGGCGAGAAAGAGATCCCATCAGGTGACCTTGCCAGGAGTTAAATCTCCTCTCCCTGACTGCAAGGTCCCCTGGGGAATGTAGTTCTTCTTCTCTTCTGGGCAGGTACCCAGGACTTGAGCATTGACAGTTAAAGTCCCAGTGCCCCACATGATGTTATGATGTGGAATACCGAAAGCCAAAAATCACAAAACCATGACAGACGGGAAGGGTAGTTTGGTTTACAGCCTGCACTATCAATACAATGCCCTGTATCATGTATGCTGAAGTTTCTTTCAGTTTTCAATGATTTTCAGATGCTTGAGTGGTATCTTGTATACTTATCTCTATTCTATCTTCCTGGACCCAAGGAAATGGCCACACATTTTACCAGAGGAGATATAAATTAGAAATAAGGAAAAACTTTTTGTCTCAGAGAGTGGTCAGGCACTGGAATGATAAAAGATTATCTTGTAGGTCCTTTCCAACCTTGTGATTCTATGATTCTATAATTCTATGTGTTATAGAGAAATAAGTATTTTCTCATGAGTAAATATGACAGAATATATTTCTTACACAGCCCACGAGGTTTAAATGTATCATTTCTTCATTTTCTCAAGCTTAAAAATCACTTTCTTGTTATTAAATTATAATATAAAGCCAATTCTACATTTTACCTAACTTGTTTAGACTAATATGCAGCCTGCAGTTCAGCATGATTCCCTGACAGTGTTGTATTACATATGTGATTACACTTGGCCTGAACACATGCTGCCTTCTTTGATAAAAGTCTTTTGGATATTCTTGTCTATGTGATGAGACAGCTGATAGCATAGGCAAAATGTTAAGACCTATATATTTGGCAAGGAAACATACACTCAAGTATACTCAAACGGGGAAATATTCCCCAGTCTCTTATTAGAATTAGAATTCCGTGAATCGAGAATTTGGATTTCCTTTATGAAAAGCAAAGTACTGAAGTGAAAAATGATGTTCAGAACAAGGAGGATGTGTCAAGAACATTTCATTGGAACTTAGATTTTCAAGTTCTTGAGTTGGTGGTTCTGAATGAGCTTCAATGGGGAAGTAAAATGACCAATAAAAGTGTAAAATAGTTGTGTGTTGAAAATCAACAAATTGTGAATTTCCAGAGGTACATTTCTGGAAAAAATTTTGTGAAATGTTCCCTATTTCAGTGTGATTTGAAAAAGAAACATGTACGAGTTCTTTCAATCCTCCACATCTTTCCACAAACTAATAGTTTTCAGGATATAGTTCCATAGGAACTATTCTTTTACTCTCTTATAAAATATTGCCAAAAGGAGTTGTTTTGTCCTTCACTCTCTGAACTCCTCCAGTCCTTGCTACACATTTTAATGCCTTATTTTCCCTTGGCATGAGTAGATAATCATGGGAGCAAAGTTTGCTGATTTATGAAGTCAGTGTAAGATGGTGATGCAATAGATTCAGTAAGATAATATAAGTAAGTTTTGATGTGTGGAAGGTTATCTCTTTCTACAGAACGTCCTTCTTAATTTCCTTTTTCCCCCTGCATCAAGATGTTTTTTTCCATTGCAAAAACACAGCAAACTTGGTATACAAAGGATCTTTCTCCGAAGCCATTTTTTTCTTTTCTCATTTGAAATATAAGAGAAGAAAGGAAAAAATGAAGTTTATGCTGATCCAATACGAAATGAAGGGACATTATTATTATTATTATTATTTTGGCATTCAGTACAGAATAAGAAAAAAAAATACTTAAAAAAAAAAAAGTAGAAATAGTAATAAAAATCATTCTAAATATTCTAAAAGTAAAATAGAATTGCTTTGATAAATTGTCTTCTTAAACTTGTGCTGGTTTCACACTGATGGACAGCTGAACTCCACCACAGTGTTCTTTCACTCTCACTCCTCCTCAAAGGAACTAGAGGAGAAAATCCAATGAAAAAGGGCTCAAGGGCTGTGATAAGGTTAGGGAAATCACTCAACAATTAATGTCACGGGCAAAACAAATGGGGGAAAGGAATAATAATGTGATTTATTGGATATTACCAACAGACTAGAACAGTGAGGACTAAAAGCAAATTAAAATAACCTTCCCTCCAATACTCCCTCTTCTAACTGTTACCCCCAGGCAATACAGGGAAATGTGGAATAGGGGATGTATTTTATCCATAATACTTCTTCATTACTGCTCCTTCATGGTCACTCTCTGCCCTTGCTTCAGTATGGAGTCCTTCCCAATGGATGCCATCCTTCCTGAACTAATCCTGCATGTGTTTCCTTTTTCTTTCCACTCTTTTAATACACAATATTCTTTCAGGCAGAGAGGGCACCAAAAAATAAAGAAGATTTGATACCACTCATTTGATACCACTTAATACTTGTTCCTTGAAATATAATCCAAAAGCAGAATGAAAACACATGCATTACTGTTACTCAGATTGTATGTGCTGGCAAAGCTGTCTTAGATTTAATGATAAAAGAAAAAAAAATGTTATGTGAATTGAATTGATGCTCAAAGGAAGATATTTTCCCAACTTCATATTTAAACTTTGTACTTCTTTAAAAGTGATGTACTTTAAGCTACCAGACAGTAGCAAGTTTTGGCAGTAATTGATAGATACATGAAAATGACAGCTGGAAATAGGATCTAAGGGGGTGTTCATGTGGTGCTCATATGGAAAGGTCATTACCATTTTCTTGTGCTCTTCCTTAGACATTTGATTATGGCCACAGTCTCAAAGACAAAATGCTAGGCTAGATGGGCCTTTACTCTTTCTTCTGCAAATCTTTAATATGTTTCAAAATGGAAATATATTTTATATCATAATTAATACACCCACACTTACTTGAGAAAAATTTGAGAAGTAAATTTCCCTGTCATTCTCTCTGTGATCCTCAACATTACAGAAGGTGGTGGTAGATAAATAGAGCAAAAATAGATAAAAATTATTTTTAATTAAACAAGAATAAATGAATTACAGTATTTTAGTGTTATGAGCCTCTGGGGCATTTCACATTTGCTTTCTTATTTAATATGAACATACTGAAATGATAAATTCCTTGGGGATATCAGCAGCATGTTTTCAAGAAGTTTCTATGCTAGTAAGCCATTAAATGCTTAAGATATTTATGTAATTAAATAACAGATTTATAAAATAAAAGAACAGATTTCACCTAAACATGAATACTATTTTTTTAAAAAAACTAGCACATAAATAAGCATAACAAAGTGACGCTGAAAATGTGGAATTCCTCCTAATACTGCAAAAAATCCAGATTGCTGATCTTGCACTCAATTTTCACCAGTCTACAGGGAATTTCTGACTTTTATATATCTCATGTAATTACTTTCTTGGTTTCGATTGGTGATTTTTAGAACAGAAAGCACCACAAATGTTATCTAAAAGAAAGAATTTATTACAATTTTAATCCAAATACTGTAAAAATATCATGACTTTTGGTATAATGGTGAAGTAATTTTTATAGATAAGTAATCCTAAGCATGATTCAGCACACTAAATTATTCTCTCTAGCTGTCCGCTGATTTTCATTGTTATAGAACAAGTCCAGGTGCTTCAATGAGGCACTTAAATGGTTCTTTTTAGGAATGGATGACTCCACAGTTTTGCAAGACAAGTTACACTTTTCTTATGTGTTGAAACACCAATAAACCGCCAGAAGATCAAGGATACATATTTTCTTAAGTACCAAACACGATTGATTTAGTTTCTCATTCAGTACTTTTGCAGCTATATTCTTGATGCAGAGATATTGACATTTTAGTAGGGACGTAGTAGGAATAGTCACTTAACTGTTTGGGATCTTTTATGGTGTCTATGTGTGTGTGTGTCTGTGCATGTGTGTGCTCTTTTTGCATAGTGATAGGACAGAGAGGAATGGTTTAAAACTAAAGGAGGGGAGGTATGGATTAGATGTCAGTGGGAAGTTTTTACTGAGAGTGGTGAAGTGTAGGAACAGGTTGCCCAGAGATGTGGATGCCCCATTCATGGAGGTATTTAAAGCCTGCTTGGATGGAATCCTGGGCAATCTGATCTGGAACTTGATATAACAGTTGGGAACCCTGCCTATAGCAGGGGAATTGGAACCCCTGGGTTCCCTTCCAACCCAAGGCATTCTGTGATTCAAATTGAACATGGTTCAAGAAGGCCAAGCACTTGGCATTGCACTTGGATCAGGGTAATCCCAGACATGAGTAGAGACTGCAAGAAAAACTGATTGAGAGCAGCCCTGTGAGGAAGGATTTTGGGTTTCTGATGGATGAAAAGCTTGACATGAGCCAACAGCATGCACTCACAACCAGGAAGGCCAACAGTAACCCTGGCTGCATCAAAAGAGGTGTGGCCAGCAGGGAGAGGAAAATGATTGTCTCCCTCTGCTCTGCTCCTGTAAGTTTCCATCTGGATTCAGAGATGTGGTGGATGCTCTGTCCCTGGAGACTTTCAGCGCGAGGCTGCATCAGGCCCTGGGCAACCTAATTTAGCTGTGGTGTCTCTGTTTGTTGCAGAGGAGATGGACTAGATGATCTTTAAAGATCCCTTCCAACTCTGGGGATTCTATGATTTCTATGATTTATATGGAGTATCACATCCAGGCCTGGGGCCCCCAGTACAAGAAAGATGCACTGTTATTGGAGTAGGTCCAGAGGAGGGCTAAAAAGATGATCAGAAGACATGTCTACTACAAAGAAGGGTTAAGGGAGTGAGAATTTAGTTTAGTCTGTGGAAGATAAGGCTCTGGGAAGACTTCACTGCGGCCTCACAGTCCTTGACGGAAGTTTGTAATCAGCAAGGAGACTGACATTTTTCATGGGCAGATAGTTATAGGACAAAGAGGAATAGTTTCTAACAAAAACAAATGAGATTTAGAATAGATATCAGGAGGAAACTTTCAGAGATTTGTGAGACACTGTGACATGTTGCCCAGAGGAGCTGTGAATGCACTATTGCTGGAGGCATTTAAGGACAGGCTGGATGAGGCCCTGAGCAGCCTGTTCTACTG